CCCCCCCAAGCCCACCCCAACCCTGCTATAAAAACAGAACACAACAAAATACCACGGGCTGAGCTAGAACAAAAAGTGGTTCCAACAAAAACAAGACAAACACAAGACACAACATCTTGGCACATTTATATGAAAAATGCCATGGCCCCTGGGGAAGCGGTCATGGCACATCAACAAGGAGACCGCGAACCCAGGTGCTTGGAGGTTCAGAATGGTTGCTACTTCTGGCCACATCTTCTTGGCTCTGTTGCAGGAATGGGTGAGGGGAGTGTTGAGTGCCCAGCAGGACTCCACGTCCCACTCTGGAAGTTCAGGTCCTTGGCTGGACGGGCTTTGGGTTGGGAAGGCGCCACAGACTCTTTCTTGCCAGAGAGAGAGAGGGATGGGGGGGGGATGGGGTGGAGCTGACATCCGCCCAAGGGAAGGAAGCCAGCCAAGGGATTTCCCTCTCTAGAAAGAGGGCCCTCCACTGGACAGAGTCCATGGCTCCAGGAGCCAACACATGTGCATTCACATAGCATAAAGCCCCATGGCAACTGTTGCCACCAGAAAACTGAGTGTGAGGACCCATCGGATGAGTGGTGTCTGGGAGGAGACACTGCACTGGGACTTCCCTCTGGGAGTCTCCGGGGGAGTTAAGTCTGAAAGAGAAAGGGGGTCAATGTCAGCAGCAGGTAGACAGAGGTAGAATGTCTGACTTTACAGAAAAACACAGCAGAGAGGAGTCAGCAGTCTCTAATAGTCCTGCTCAAGGCCAAAATTCTGCTAGAACACAAACAGGTGGCCCTCTAGCCACTACTTGAATACCTCCAAAGACAGGGAGCTTACTACTTCTCCAGCTGTCTATTCTTCCCCTTTCAGCCAGCCCACATTGTGAGACCATGCCCTCCAGGGGTGCTCCAGGGGACCACACTTTGAGAACTGGTGCATTAAGGCAAAGTCACCTCATCCCACCAGGCAGCTAATCCCATCAGTACTGGCCATATTCCAACGCTGCCAGGCACCATACCAACAGAGGGGTCCACGTGGTCCTGGCACACGTGGGAAAGCCACAGGGCAGGTATGTTAGAGTGGTACCAAGCAGGCAGTGAGCTTCACCTCCTCACTCGCCCCCATTCCCAAAGCCACATTCCTGCTCACAGGTGCCAGGCTTTGAGGGTCCCCTCTGTGGAGCACTTTGGTCTTTCTGGAAGTTCCCCTGATACTCCCTCAGCACAGCCACAGCCTCGGTACCTTTCTGAGGCACACGAGGGAGGGACTAACACGCAACAAGACCCAGAGGTCACGTCTTCCTGGCATCCCATGGCAGGGTAACAGCTAGAAATGGTCCCAGATTCCCTGTCTCATGTCAGGGGTCTCTGCTCAGGAATTAGTAAAGGGCCCCAAAAGAACCCAAATCAAGGAGGAAGGCTTGGCCCCCGACTTCCGAGGGTCCTCTGGGTGCAAGTCTCCACTTCTGAGCCAATGAACTAGAAGTAACTCAACTGCCCTTGGTTTCAGAGATGGGGAAACTGAGGGAGGGAGAGGTTACACGGCTTGCCCAGAGTCTCCCACTGAAGGCTGACCTCATGCCCTTTGGCCTGCGCAACACTTCTCATTTAAAACATTCAGAAGACAGAGGAGTCAAGAGATACTGAAGCCAGACAGCTGGGCCACGCGCCCCTCCATCGGAGCCCAGAGGAGCTGCTGCTCCCAGGAAGCCCTCACCTTGCGTCCTGCTGCCAGCCCGTCGGCGAAGCCCTGGAGTCTGCGAGGGGCTCTGGTCCTCAGCTTTCCGGGACAGCAGCTCCTGCAACTCCTCAAACAGCTGAAAGACAGAAGACACACACGCCGTCTCAGTGAAGGATGGCGCTAGCCCAGCTGACGGGGGATCCGCAATCTTGTTATGAAATATTCAGGGCATAACAAAACCCCTAAGAAAAATACTGTCTGCGTACCTTTCCTCCAGCTTAAGAGATGTTACAAGTGCATTGGACTCGCCTGCCTGCTCTTCCCCAAATGCTCCCCAGTAACAGCCCTCCTGGGTTAGGGCTCACTGTCACCATTCATGCCCTTCTGTCCCTCTGCAGAGCACCGTTTCATGAGTGGGACCGAGTCTATGCAGCCATCTGCGGCCTGCTTTCCTCACCTCTTTGTGAGCAACCCCTGGGAAAGCATGTTCCATGGTATTTGTGAGCCGGGGTTTGCGACAAGGAAGCGCAGATCCTAAGGGTTAAGTGCCCAGACCGAGGCTAACCCAAGGGTCATGGGGCAAGGGCCAGCCCTCCAACGGGGCTCTGGCTCCCAATCCTCTCCTTCTTCGATGCCTCTCTGAGAGACATGGGTTTTATTGGAGGATCCACCAACCAGGTTTGGTTTGTTGTTTAGGGGTCTTCAAGGGAGGGGTGCTGCTCAGTGACTAGTGCTGGGAGTAGGGACCAGAAGTCTGTGAGCCAGAAGCCCAGTCCCCATAGCACCCCCAAGTGCGGGGAGAGCACCAGGATTCTACAACATCCAGGTTAGAAGGAACCTCACCCCCCACTCAAATACCCTCCCCCCAGCTCTGCCCAAGAACTCCTCCTTCCAGGCCTTCCTCAAAGCCCATTTGCCCCTGGACTTGAGGCCCTTGGAGAAAGATGTATCCCACCTTCCTGGCTGGGCGGAGAGGCCCCAGAGCAGAGGCCACATCTGTGGCACCTATAACTGCTGCAGGGCCAACGTGGCCACACACAAGTGCACACACAGCTTGAGTGTTGTCATAGAGCGTTGTCACAGAGTGCTACAACTGTGATGCTATGCCCCGCTATGGGGACTTTATTGGTATAAATTCAACCCTCACGACTCTAAGAGGTAGGTACAATAATATACTCATTTTACAGATGGGGAAACTGAGGTACAGAGAAATTAGGGATTTACCTAAGATCGCCCAGCTACTAAGTGGCAGAACTGGAACCCTGGTTCCAGTGTCCCGTGACCCTCCACCCCCCCCCC